CTTGTTGAGGAGGAGCGCGCCAAGAGCTTTCTCCTTCGAATCTTCACTGCCATTGGTAAACTGCCTCACGAGTGCAAACATCTGATTGTAGAGCGATAACAGATTTCGTCCCTCTTGATCACAGGCAGGCAAAGAAGCGAGTTTCGTATATAAGATATGTTTTAGTGTTACCTTGTCATCAAAGTGGGTTTTCAGGATTTCCATAGCTACTTTGTAGTTTCCAGGTGTCATGGATAGTCCTTGGATGACATGTAACGCCTTCCCTCGCAGACATGATTTAAGTAGAGAGAATTTCGTCGTATCATCTAGTTGGATTTTGTTCCCTACCAGAGTCGCGAACCTTGATGAGAATTCCGGGTAATCCAGTAAGTTGCCGTCGAATGTGGGTAGTTCCAGCTTGCTGACTATGGATGCGTCGACGAAGTTCATCAGCGAAGCATCAGCGGCATGATTAATAGGAATTTGTGGAGTATTGTGAGAGGTCCTATTGCCTGTGTTCCAATTTGTTTCATCTTCCGGAGTGTTTGGTTCCGAAGTCGCCGATGAGAGCGATAGGCGTCGAGTTGAGCACTCCTGATCGATAGTGTTTAAAAGAGCATCCATGTTCTCTAAGTTCTTCACTGCCTCAGCGATGACGATATGGTAGTCGCCGTATTTCTTGACATACTCGTCGTAGATCTGTTGTTCGTCGGGGATTGATTTCTGAAGTATCGTCCACTCTTCGTCTAGTTTTCTGATTTTCGTGTAAGCTTTGAGAAGGCTGGAACGAGTGTTAGCGATTTCTAGCCTGAACGTCTCAAGTGCGTCATCATTGAGGGTTTCAAAATGTGGCGTATTGATGTCGATGTTGTAGTCCTTGAGCGATTGTTCTGCGTCAGAACAGAGGCGTTGTATATGTTTCTTGAAGAATCCAATTTGACGGCGAAGGCTTGCGCTGTTGTCCGACATGACGATTCGCGAAGAATAAAGTTGCTTGATTTGCGTTTACGTAGAGGTTGTGTCTTGGATTCTTAGAAGTGAGCTTTCTCCAGTAAAGGGAGATCGCTTCGAACGTGGTACGGGGAAGGACGTTTGTGAACGTTTGTGGAAGAGGGATTCTTGAAGGATCAATC